GCGCCCTCCGCCCGGGTCCCCGCAGCCGCCCCCCGCCGCTCGCTCCATCCCGCGGAGCGGAGTTGATGCCGCTGTCGCCGAAGCCTCGGCTGATGGATGCCTGGGAGTGCCGCATTGCTTAGCGTGCCCGCCTCCGGGTTTGCTGGTAGGAGCATGCTGCGCTTTCTTCTCTCCAGCTTTGGGGTTTTATGGAGGGGGGGGGGGAAGGCCGCGGAATCCAGGCATTTAAATTTTATTGTCCACTCCCCCCTCCCCCACGCCCTGCCTTTGAAATGTGCATTTTAGGGCAAGATTTTCTTTTTCTTCTTCTGCCCGCGGCAAGTCCGCTGAAATGAAGGACTGGGAAGAAGGGAGAACTTGGGCATGGGGTGGGGTAGGGCTTGGGGGGAGGGCGGGGGTGGGGGCAGTCGGGAGCCCACGTTGGTGCCAATGCCACCCCAAACCCTGCTGGTGCCTTATGAGATGACGGCGTATCGAGGAGGGGTGGAGGGAAGGTGCCCTATCTGCAGAGACTCCATCCACCTAATTGGATCATACACATTTTAAATACAATCCCACAAATGGCTTTTAAAAATAGCATCTTCGAATAAGCCGAGAGGAGAAATAAGCTCTTTCCCCACCTCTTTCTCTTTTTCCTTTCTGTCAAAGACGCGCTCTCCCCGCCCTGGAGCTCCGCGTGGAAGAGCCACCTTATTATTAATCAGAATTCCCATCGCTATCCCTGGCAGGCGCATCCTTCCGTAGCGCCCGCCGAAGCAGCACAGAGCCGAGGCTGAGATGTGCACGGGGGCTGTTGTTTCATCTTGGAAGAGAAGAAAAGAGGAAGGCACCGAGATCTGCACCACCAGTGCCTGGTAGGGTTAGGGGTGTTTTGTGGGCGAGGAAGGACAGGAAGTGGTGGGCTGCTCTGAAGCCCTTACCCCTAAGGGTAAAGGAAGAAAGAACCAAAGTGGGGCATTCCTTGTTTTTTTTTAGGGGCAGGTGGGGGTGCAGTGGAAGAAGTTTAGATCCCGCATAGACAGTCTGTGGGAAACCAGGAGCAACAGGGTACTGGGTTGGACCTTCGGACAAATCATTTCCAGTGAAGGAGAGGAGAGAGGCACTAGTGAGGTGTGGGGGCCTGAGTGTGCCTGTGGAAGGAACAAGTTTGTTTGGGACAGTCAGCAATATAGCAAGGGAGGGCCGGGGAAGGAGCAGGACAATGACTCATCTGCAAGCTGGCCTCTCTCCTGAGACCCTGGAGAAAGCTCGCCTAGAACTCAATGAGAACCCAGATACGCTGCACCAGGACATCCAGGAGGTGAGGGACATGGTCATCACCAGGCCGGATATTGGCTTTCTACGCACGGATGATGCCTTCATCTTACGCTTCTTGCGGGCTAGGAAGTTTCATCACTTTGAGGCCTTCCGCCTCCTGGCCCAGTACTTTGAGTACAGACAGCAGAATCTGGACATGTTCAAAAGCTTCAAGGCCACTGACCCTGGCATCAAGCAAGCGCTGAAGGATGGCTTCCCTGGGGGCCTGGCCAACCTGGATCATTATGGCAGGAAGATTCTAGTCCTTTTTGCTGCCAACTGGGATCAGAGCAGGTAAATCCTAGATTCAAACTTGTACCAAGGAGCCTTTTGCTCCCCCATTTTCCAGAATTTATCCTGACTAGTGCTATAGATTTGATGCATCTGTTCATGTGGCTAGGAGAGAAGAGGAAATGGGCACCCCCTGTGGGGTCGGGGGGTGGGGGGTGGGGTGGGATGGGGTGGAGAGGGGTATTTTTACCTTTAAAACTTCACTTGCACTCAGTTCCTACTGCAGCTTTCAAGGCTTCCTGGAAGGTATTATTGTGCTGCAATCTAAATCACTCAAATAAAGCTGCTAATTCATTCCCCTTCAAAATAAGTTTCCTGGTCTGTGAAGAAATGAGTATGAGAATGGAAACAACCTTTCCTCCCTCTTCCTAAAGGAATTCTTAAACTAAACTCATGGGTACCATTATCATCATCATCATCATCATCATCATCATCATGATTATAGTCATCATCTCTCTTTAGTACTTACATTTTCATGTTAAACACCAAGTAGCTTCATTACCGAGGGGCTTTGCTGCTTGGTGATGTGTAGATGAAGGAATCATATGATGCGTGCCACTTCAATGGAAAGGAAGAGCTGTCCTCTCTGTCTCTGAGCATGCTTGCCGACACTGACAATAAATGTTGACGGGTGTGCTTGTTCTACACCTGTCACTAATCTAAAGAATGTGTTTCCTGTCTGATGTGATTTTTCATCTTTTGGAATAAAGCGAGGAACATTCAGCGATGTCAGTGGGTAGACTTTGTTAGCTCTCTTGCTATGTCATGTCTAAGCTCTCTTGCTGTCTTACTCCATCTACATGGAGCAATGCTCACAACTTCTACTTTATCAGAATTATTTTCCCAGACCCCAAACTGTAGGTGACTAGAAAAAGTGTTTTGTGTAATGAAGTTTCACTGAACTTCAAAGTGTATTTTAGGAAACATGCTACCAGAGCTAGGGATCTTAAGAAGACAGTGGTTGGTAAGACATTGACGTCTTTTCAGTTCAGTGACTTTTGATGCATCTGATTAGTTTAAGCACAGATAGTGGGAGATTTGATAATGTAGGCTTCTCAGTGTCTTGACTCTTAGGATGTAAATTAATATCGTTAACAATGTTTTTTCCTTTAATCGGTCACTCCCCCACCCCCTGTAATTCTCTGCTAAAACAGAGCTGGATAGGTATATTTAAAGACAAACTACCACTTCAAGAATCAGAACTCTAATAAAACCACAGAAACAGTAAGGCATGGATGAAAATGAAGCGTTGACAAAGATACTGCTTAGTTATAGAGCTTTTACTCTACTTTTTAATAAGGAGAACATTTTAAAGGCTGATAGACAAATTCTATACTATACTGGATTGTTATAAGAGCAGTGAGTCCCCACTAAAATGATTTAATTATAAGTAATAGAAAACAATTTTTTTATCTGAAGACTGCACTGTATGTCATACAAACTAATAATTGTGTATATCAACTTTGGGAAATAAATCCATGAAGAGCCTGCTATCCCAGATGTCATTTAAGACGGAACTTGCTTTACTGAGCTTCAGGGAAATGGGAGCTGTGAAGACTTTATTTTCAGTATGTGTTGAGGTCTGTTAATTATATTATCAAGAAGACAAATAGCATTTAGAGATATCAGACCTATTTTCATTTACTTCTGTAAATCAGTTACTATTCACTATGATTATAAACCTAATTAAGATGAAAGTCACTTGTTCTCATGTATATGACATAGCGATTATTCTGGATTTACAAAAACGATATATCTTTCCTGTCATTGAGTTCATTCTGACTCAAAACAACCCTATAGGACAGATTAGAAATGCCCCTTTGGGTTTCCAAAGCTGTAAATTAGTCTTTATACGAGTGGCAAGAGAGTCTCATCTTGTTCCCTCTCTAAGGAACAGGGAACTGGTAATAAAAATCTTTCTCCCTGGAAATTAATAAAGGGAAGGTTCATTGATAGGCTTACAATATTATTTAATAAAACCCCAAATCTGAGATATTGTTTATGGTGATATAAAATTAAAATCGAGAAGTTGTGGATATATAGGTATATTAAGACCTATAGACTAACAATCACAAATTCAAATTTCTTTGGTCGAAAATGAGTAAGTATAAAAAAGACGTTATATAACATCAAGGTAAAAAGGCATAAAAGCTATTAGAGATTGTCCAAAATTCAGTTGAATTTTCTCCTCTTTTAAAGGAGACCTGTTGGCCCAGTGCTTACAGGTTGGGCTTCAATCTTCAAGTTAAGTTGTTCAAAATTACCAGCCTCACTGCTGGAGAAATACGGGTGTTTCTGCTCTAAACAATTACAGTCTCAGAAAATCCCAGGGACAGCTCTACTTTGTCCCATAGGGTCCCTAGGAGGAGGCCTCGACTGGATGGCAGCGAGTGATATTCTTGTAAGGTGCCTGGCAGTGTCGTGGGTTAGGCGTTCTTATACTAACCATAAGTAGTTTCAGCAGGTCAGAACAACCAGCTTCTCTGGGCTTTCTGTTCCAGTAAAATCGCAGAGGTCCATGCGGGCAGTTCTGCCTTGTCTTGTTTGGTTGCTATGAGTCGAAATCAACTCGATGGCAGTGAGTTGGGTTTTGGTATTTTAATTATTCAAACAGAATTCCCCCCTTTTCACTTCATTCTAGAAGTAAAGATAGCCAAGGATAGGGACAAGTAGATAAATAGGTCTTGACACATGACTTCTGCCTTTTGGGTTGCACCAAGTGTCACCATCCTTTCTCTCATCTTTGGCGGGAATCCCCTTCTTCCACAATACTGCCATCAGGTTTATCTGACTTGGATCCCACTTCTACCACCCTCTCTAGATAGTTAACTTCCTACTGGGCTTTCCAGTGAATATGCTCTGCATACATTCCTTCCCATGTTCTGTGAGTAAGGCATCATCACCTTCGGTGTCCTGTCTATTCCATTTCCTTCCCCCCAAATCTTGGTATCCTCAGAAGAATGCATGTCTGAACATAATTTTGACCATAATCCTTGAAATGTTAGGGAACCGTCTTTTTAAAAAAAACTTTTTTAAAAAGGCAGCATTAGAAAATGGAGTGTAGATGATTACAATCGAGCATTCCAGACACGAGAAGAAAATGTTTCCCTTTATTTGAAAGTAGATTATTTCCAGCTTCTGAAGTACAAAGGAAAAAGCAACCCAAAATTTTGACAAATTTTGGAAACAAAATTGTAAAGACCCCCAAAATACCTGATCTGTATGAGAATTATTAGCAAAAACAACCCTAACACTATGATATTCCAACAGCTCCCAAACTAGAGTGGATGCTCAATAATTAATTGAATTAGAAGTTGAGTATTTAAAATAACATAAGTAGGAAGATGTTTTACATTTATTGAGAAGGCCATACTTTGGAAAAGAT